TTTCGAGGAACTACATTTGTGGGGTCGTGTTATATAACGGCAACTGAGTTGAACCTATTGGGTCTTGATTGGTTCGATCGCCTTGGGTTAGCCGACATTCCAATCAGCGCCGTTTGCAATGCAGTTCAGTCTCCTACAGCGCATCCAGATCATGCATCCGACATTATGGAGCGATTTCCAATTGTTTTCCAGTCCGGTCTCGGTCAGTGCACTGCGACACAAGCAGTCCTCCACCTCGTGCCGGGAGCTACGCCAGTCTTCCGTCCAAAGAGACCAGTTCCGTACGCTTCCCTCCCACTGGTAGATGCCGAACTTCAACGGTTGGAAGAACAAGGCGTTCTGTCCCCTGTATCCTACTCTGCCTGGGCAGCGCCGATCGTTGTAGTAAAGAAACCTAACGGTGGCATCCGCATATGCGCCGATTTCTCAACCGGCCTAAATGCAGCTATCCAGCAGCACCATTATCCACTACCAGTACCCGACGATCTATTCACTGTTCTGAACGGTGGGAAGTTCTTCGCCAAAATCGACCTGGCTGAAGCGTACCTTCAAGTTGAAGTCGCACCAGAATCACGCCCACTACTGACAATCAACACACACCGCGGGCTGTATCAGTACAACCGTCTTCCGTTTGGCGTCAAAACCGCCCCAGCAATTTTCCAGCAATTGATGGACACCATCCTTTCTGGCATTCCAGGTGTGGTCGCATACCTGGACGACGTGCTGATCGTTGCTGTTTCCCCCGAAGAGCTTCGTGAGCGAATCAATGCCGTCTTACTGCGCATTCAGGACAATGGCCTCCGCCTCCGTCCCGAGAAGTGTCAATTCTTCTTGACAACTGTGAAATATCTTGGGTTCATTTTTGACGCCTCTGGTCGCTATCCTGACCCGGAAAACGTTCGAGCTATACAGCAGATGCCACCTCCTAAGGATGTACCATCATTACGTTCCCTTTTGGGGTTAATCAGCTACTATTCGGCATTCCTGCCTTCGTTGCACGACATCCGGCCCCCGCTAAATCGGTTGCTTGGAAAGGATGTCCCCTGGTGTTGGTCAGACGAATGCGAGGAAGCATTCTGCAAACTAAAGACGATGCTCAGTTCTGATCTGCTACTTACCCACTACGACCCAAAGCTGCCGATCGTTGTGGCAGCTGATGCCTCTAATTTTGGTGTCGGTGCCGTCATTCTACACGTCTTTCCAGACGGATCGGAGAGGGCCATTATGCATGCGTCGAAATCACTAACCCCAGCAGAACAGCGATACGCACAGATAGAGAAAGAAGCGTTGGCCTTAGTGTTCGCGGTTCGGCGTTTCCACAAAATGTTGTATGGCCGCCGTTTCACCCTACTTACCGATCATAAACCATTGCTCTCCATTTTCGGCTCAAGGAAAGGTGTTCCCGTACACTCTGCCAACCGCCTGCAAAGATGGGCCCTGATTATGCTGGGTTATGACTTCGATATTCAATATCGACGCACCACCGACTTCGGTCAGGCCGATGCATTATCTCGGCTGATCAACAACCAGCCAACACCCGAAGAAGACACGGTTATTGCGCATGTTGCATTTGAGGACCCAGCCGACCCACAGTTGGTCCAGTCCGTTCGTGCCCTGCCCGTGACAGTAACAGAGGTTCAAAGAGCTACCACAGCTGATGGAACGCTTCAAAAGGTGATCCGATTCATGAATTCTCGGTGGCCTTCGAATCTCAAAGATGATTCCCTTCGACAGCTCTTTCATCGCCGAGATGCATTAGCGATCGTAAAAGATTGTTTAATGTTTGGAGATCGCGTGGTGATTCCGCAACCTTTACGCCATCGAGTTCTTCGTCAGTTCCATTCTGGACATCCAGGAATCAACCGTATGAAGTCAATAGCTCGCAGTTACGCATACTGGCCGCACATGGACCAGCACATCACTGATTTTGTAAAACGCTGCTCCCGATGTCAACAAGCTTCAAAGAATCCGCCACACCAACCACCGGTTCCCTGGCCTCGACCTGAAAAGCCCTGGTCTCGGATCCACATTGATTACGCAGGACCGATAAATGGCACTTTTTATTTGGTTTTGATTGACGCTTTTTCCAAGTGGCCAGAAATCGTTCCGGTGTCATCTCCAACAACATCTAGTACGCTGAGAGTGTTATCCAACATTTTCAGTCAGCATGGATTACCGGAGTCCATAGTCTCAGACAATGGTTCGCAGTTCACCTCTGCTGAGTTCCGCGACTTCTGCACTCGACATGCGATAACACACGTTCGTTCACCACCGTACCACCCACAATCGAACGGTCAAGCAGAAAGGTTCGTCGACACATTCAAGAGGGCTTTGCTTAAAGCTCGAGGGGAGGAGACATCCGTCGAAGCCCTTCAGAGATTCCTGTTTGTGTACCGAACGACCCCGAATGACGCTTTGGCAAACCACCAGTCACCTGCAGAGGCACTCATGGGCCGTAAACTTAGAACTGTGCATTCTTCCATGTTGCCAACACAACCTACTGAGTCAAGGTCCATACCGGTGGCAGTTGGAACTCCATTCAAGGTGGGAACGCCCGTGCTTGTCCGTGACTATCGCCCAGGACATGATTCATGGATTGCAGGTCGTATCCTGCGCAAACGCGGTAGTGTAATGTACGACGTGTCGGTTGGTCAAGACACCTGGACCAGACATCAAAACCAACTCCGCTTTAACAGCACGCCGGAAACTCAAGTATGTTCGGGTAGCATACCGTTGGACATATTGCTCGATACTTTTGAGCTGAAAACTGAGACAGCTTCGAAAGAGGAGAGTGTGACCGGCAGCTCAGTATTTGATCCAACACTTCTTCCCAGGCGGTGGACAGACCGACGCCGCCGCCAGCCGGAGCGTATCCAGGTCGACCCCCGTCGAGTACGCTACTGACTTTTCACAAGGGGAGGTGTTGGGGATATCAATATCCCCCAGAAAACGCTGTTTTTATGTGTGCTAGCGAACTCCTGGCATCTTCAAGGTCAAACTATGAAAAATCAATGGCCTATTGATACTCCAAGGAAATTTAAATCCGACCACGTACAGGATACCATTCTTTCCACTGACTTGGGTTCGGAAGCTCCGGGCATCGCCTGTTGATCGTGTGTTGTTGGATTATTAAAGTTTGTGTCCGAGGTTTTCGTCTTCTTACTATTCGCCGTGCTAGGAGTCTGGATCAAGCAACATAGCTGGGGATAGAGTATTGCCACAATCCGCATATCATATTGTTTGCTCGCTGCGTAACCGAACCGTATCAAAATGTTCCAGAAAGTGCCCTACGCTTGTGACGGATCACAAACCACTGCTAGCTATATTCGGTCCCAAGAAAGCTATCCCGGTCTACACAGCCAACCCTTTACAATGATCGGGCACGATTCGGCTAGGCTACAACTTTAGTATAAAGTATGCCTCAACCGAGAAAGTTAAGCAGACCGATGCGCCAACGCGCCTATGAAATGGAACCAGAAGACACTGTCATAGGAACCGTTGCCGTCGAAACGGAAGTCCGTGCTGTGGTGTTGGAGACTCTGAACTAACTACCCGTCACTTTTGACGTGGTCCGAGATGTTACTTCTCAACCATTCTATCCCCAATGCAACGGTCAAGCCGGATGGTTCGTAAACACCTTCAAAACATTCACTGACAAAAGAAGGGGAAGGGACCACGGCAGAAGTCCTTGCTACGCTCTTGCTGAATTATAGAGCAACTCCCAATCCACAGTCTCAGGACGGTCGCTCTCCAGGAGAGGTTATGATGAACAGAGGGTTGAGAGTTACTCATGACGCTATCCTGACAACACTTACGTGTTTGCAATCACCAACAGTAAGGAAACCAACGTTCAGGTCTCTCAGGGTCTATCGCCCCGGGCACCGAAGATAGACTGTTGGAATCGTCCTCAAAAGAATCGGCCATGTGATTTACAGCGTCCAGGTGGGATCATTTATATGGAAACGACGCGAATCAATTACGGACGAGCGAGTGCTTGACCTCAAAGATGGAAGAACATTTAATAGACCTCAGCCTACTAGTTGAAACCTTTGATCTCCGAAGACCAGCACCTATGCCCACTGCTTCGCATGTACCACCCAAGACAGATCCATTGTTGCAACTGAGACGTCATACCGGTAGCGCTAGAAAAATGGTGGAACCTATACATCGACAATCTTACGCTGAACAGCCAAAAGGGGGAGGTATCAGGAAGGTCAGATTCCTGAAAGCAACCACTAAAAACCCGAAATCTATTGAGACCCTCAGCTCCGCTAGATGTCGATCAGACAGACAACGCCCCCTCAATGTGCAGCGCGTCACAGCCTAGTACCAAAGCCAGACCGGGTGTGTCAGCACTCAACCAAGTTCAGGTGGTGTTCCTATAATAAACAGCATGAGGCCGTTGTATTTTCGCACTCACGCGCACTCGCTTGTTCCGAATATAGCTGTTGTGTTCCCTTCCGAGTCTTTTCTCCGTCACTAGGCACTGGAGCGGGATCAGCATTCAGATACAACAGGTGCAAAAGTCGGCCACGTAGATGTGTCCCAGTCGAATCTTCCGCATTTTTGTCGTACTGTTACTGCTATTTTCGGTACAGAGCTCCGTGGGGGAAGCACGAAACATATCAACATCAGTTTCCGTAAATGCTTAAGAAAAGTTTGTAAGATGAGACGTTTTTTCATTACCTTTCCCAAATTAAACCTTTCCAAGAAATTGCCCGTCCAAACTTACTGCCTGGTTGTCCTAGTAGCATGGTTTCGTTACTTCCTTTCGCACTGCTCTCAAGGATTTATTTGGAAATGATAATATGAACTCACAGTGACAGTATATCATGAAATAAATCAACCTCGAAGACCCATCGTGTGGTTTAGTTTTCTCACCTGCTCCACAACATTCGCATTCCAAGGGAAATTGGTGAGCTTCATAATTTATATTTTCAGATCCCATAGAAGTGTGATCCACTGCATAGTCTGGAGATCAAGTGTTACCGAATATTTCGATGAACGTGTTCACATTGGTTCTGACAAGAGGTAATGCTGTTCTTCATTTGAGGTTATATTTACTGGTGTGGCCATGCGTGATTTCGCTGCTTGTTTGGTTTCTGTGGTACAGCTTGGTCTTTATAAACGTTGCACACGGACAGTGCGAGACCTTTCGTCACTACGCACGTGGTACAACCTACCCTAACAACAAAGAGAGCATTCGCGAGGACAGGGGTTTTTTGGAACTTTCTATAGACACTTCTAATGATTCTGGAAGTGACGAGTTTGCTCGTTGGAAGTGGCAGGTTGATGGATCGTACAAGCTAATGAGGTTTCAATTGTACAGCATAGAAACCGGTGATGTTTTCTTGAACTGCAGCTACGAATCACAGGACCTCATCGGCCCTTGCTGTGAGCTTCCTAGCAATCCACACACAAATTCCTCATTTCCAAAAGAATGCACTGATGCCATCTATGTTGTCAATAGTCAGCAGCAAAACTACGAACTGGTGTACGGGAACAGACATCACTCCGAACTGTTCATTAATATTATAGCACACATCCATATAAACAGACCTGAGGGTCTCAAGGTGTTCACCCGTGCATCGCTTGCTGAAGATTTTCATACCTGCGGTGAACTAGCTAAAACAAATCCCTGGAGAGGATACTTACCAGACAATGATATTCTGGAACGTGAGTACCACTATGTGAATCGATCTCTGTGGCAAACAGTTATAAGCCCTCAAAACACATTCAAGCTCATCTTCCACGGATGGACAGTTCACAAAATGGGTGTCCGAGTATTTGTATACTCCCTTCACGGATATTCCAAAGATCCATTGGACACAATACGGCGAGAACTTTCGGCTGCACCTAAGACCGCTGTGGTCCCTTTGGATGTTTCTCATTATACGGAGCGTGTGCAGACTACAGGAAGCTTCTCAAAGTACTTCAGGAGCATCACCATCAGCCTGAATATCAATTATTTGACGCGCGCCGTTCTCGTAACTTCTGGTCTAGTTACACGCAAAGATATGGCAATGATTGACAGGGTAATGTATGACTTGCTCCGTGGTAGGCAAGCTGAGACCAGGTGGCCAACAAAAAGTCCTCCAGGAATTCGTCTTTATCGGGTGCTTAAACAGTTCGAAAAGCACGTAATTGTGCCTTATGGGACTACGATAGAGTTTGATGTGAAGGAAGGTTATTATCTTAACTATCCTGAGTGCTTTGTCTCAAATTTCAACGGTGAGGGAGTCGTGAAGTTGTCGTCATCTACAGACTTTGAAATGTACGGTATGGGTGCAACCACGATCACAATCAGTTCGTGTCATCCGGCCCACAGCGCATTATACACTTGTGGTTATGGAGGAAAAAAATATTTTGTTGGCCTTCCGCGTATTTGCTTGCCCAGAGGAGCCGATTATCATCAGTATGTGCTATCCGTATCGAACGATCGGAACGTGCAATGGAAAGATCGGTTTAAGTATTACGATTTTTCCGGGGCGGTCTACATTCCGGAGGGTGCTCAAGTCGTAATCACATGCAATAAAGTCATCGGACATAGGATGGATAATTACGGAGAAGAAAGTCTTTTTCACACAGTTGCTGGCACTTCCGAGCCGCTTCCTTTTGAGCGCGTCAGGAGGACAATGAGTACGCATAAATACAACGATGGAGCACATTTATATTACAACATGGCCGAAATCTACCATATCTGGAGTGTAAACCGGATGGGAAAACTTACAAAACACCATGTTGTATGCCGATTTCGTTATCGTTACATTCCAGAGCTAGTGCGATTATCACCTCGGGCAAGCTGGCAAATAACGTTGACCGCTAACCGAACGAAGCTCATATCCGCCTACGGTAAAAAGCCGCTCATTGTGGCTGACCACTGCCGATATAGCGATGCATCTGTTCAACGCATTCTTCGTCGGCCTGAAGCAGCTGATCCAAAACTGGCCGGATTTACAACACTGTTGCGCCCAAGTGGAAAAACCGAAGAAGGGATCTACAACGGTTCTTTCATTACCTTTCACGCACTCTTGATCGCCAACATATCGGTGTGGACAGTAGATCGAGAAACTCGAAGTAACCTGATTCGGCATGAATGTTCGATGTCCAGCAATCAAATTAAGAGAAAGCAACATGGATACCTTACCAAAACGGTGGAATTTGAAAGAGCTCAGACACTGGTTGCTTCACTTGTACAGTTTACCTGCGTTCTAAGTGTACATACTGTTGGAGTGGTACTTAACGTGCAGCACCGCCATGCAAACACTACCGATAGTGGGGTGATTAGACGGCTGTACACGCAGTCACTGCTTAGCGTTGTGCAACATCGTCTTCAGGGCATTCCAGCTTCCAATGTATCCTTCATTCATGATCCTGTTGGTTCCTCAAGTGCATTTCGTTTCAGCAGAGTGAGTTTGGGGTGGATGGCCACCTTGAAAGTGGGCCAACGTATAAGCTTGATCAAATCAGTGGTCAGAGTGAACTGCTCCTATCGATTTGAGGCTAACCACACCTTATCTGTGATGCCCGAGGGCTATAGCGAACGTCGTCTTGGTAAACTGCTCGAAATTTATCACTCAAATGCCTTGCATGCACATTCCGGACTATACATTTGTAGTATAGGAGGACGCGGGTTGACTACCCGCCGACTGGCAGTTTTACCAGAGTCTTCCCAGTTAAGTATAAAAATACAATATGAGCACATCCTTAGTCAAAACAACAAAATACCAAACGTGCTGTCAGCGCAGCCGATTAATGTTACCTGTTCAGTTTGGCTTCACGTTGGCTTCGTTGTCGACCCCATATTCATCGTTGATTTTATCAGCGTGTTCAACGGGAACAAAACCATTCCTTTGACTGTGAAAACTGTGACCCAAAAACCCAGCATAACTAGACAGTTAGAAAAATATGTTGCTGTTCAACAATTTGAAGTAGTTGCACCGAATCCGGTCCATTGCGGCAAAGTATCCCGCATCACATGTCGCCTGGTCCTACGTGATTTCGAACGGGATGTATCCGACTTGTCCGATATTCCATCGGAGGTAGAATTAAAGCAATCAGTCGAAATTAATGTCACAGAGCGCCTGCAACCTCAGATAATTTTGCAAATGTCAGCATCGGACTGTGTGGCTTTGCACAATGGCATGAAAGACTCACGGTCGACAAATGCAACACAAATGTTGATGAGAAGTCAGCGTAACGCCCCAAATGAGACAGTGGAGACGGTTTTTGTTGAGGATATTTGCCACTTAGAGTACATTGCTTTTTACGGTATTCCCGAAGGTCAACTACTGATATGGTTGGTTCGTCGAACAACGACTGACACGCTAAAGTTGGACGAATGCTTGACCGAGAAGACGTCCGTGCTTGGCAGTGCTATGTACAAAAGTCTTCCAATTTACCGTGAGAGCAAAGCTAGATATGGTTTCAAGGCCGAATGCGTGACGGCTTTTCTGCCGGAGCACGTTGGAATATTTGCCGTAGTTTTGAATGCTTACGACCATACACGTTCTGTTACAGAAGAAACGCGTGCAATAAAGCCAGTTGTGCGTGGGTGGTTTGAACGTTATTATGGCTTAAAGAGTTCTACTCAAAAAGAAGCTGAATTATTATGGCATTCATTTAGAACTAAACCGCAGCACCATATCGTACGATTCCGGGTATATCGGCAGGCCATCATTCGTGCAGGTGATGAGATTAAGATTCTGGGACTTAAAGGACCACAAGCTGCAATGAAATTTGAGTGCAGCTTCCAGAGTGCTGATGGTTCGCTTGAGATTGCCGTTCCGAAGCGGTTTCAATTACAAAGGACACGTTACCCAGGTAGCTTTTTACTTTACACAGAAACCTCATATTTGTCTGATTCTGGGAGCTACAAGTGTTTGAATAAGTCCTGTCCGGGATGCCCCGTCGAAGATGTGTTTCCTCCGAGGAATGTCATTGTTCTTCCAAACGACATCATGTTGGGGTTGGATCTGAGCTACAGGAAGCTACGTGCAAATGATACTATCGCACATTCTGTGAAACTCCCAAAATTATCGACGGCTTATCCTGACCAGCTAGTGAATGTCAGATGCACCCATAGGGTATCAAGTATTGAAAAACTCTGGCCCAAAGTCATACTGAATAGTGAAGAGATAAGAAACCGACACAAAACCGTCTCTAAAGAACCCGAGCTTGTTTTCGATTTTGTGCACAGGTCTAATAACGGCACAGAACTGTATCGTGTATTCAGTTTTACATTTTTCACAGCTCTACCGGAAGCAAAATACGATCTAACCTGTGTATTCCTATTCGAAAACGTGACTGTAACGCAAGTAGATCATAACGGTTCTTTCATAACACCAATGCTTACTAAGAGTGCAACGATTAAAGTAAACGGGACACTTTCTCCAGTCATATTTAATAGACATTTGCGGTCAAAACCAACACAACTTATGGAGAATTTAAACCATCAAGGAGAAAGTGAAATCAGCTCAATAATGTTCCATCAAACAGGCTCCAAGAACCGCCTTGAAGAGACCAATGCCCAGCTTTATATTGTTCATCACGGAGGGTACCCAACTGGTCATCTCCGCGTATGGTCTTTCTACAATATTGAAGAGGAAAAACAAGTGTATGCGGAGGACTGCTATGCCATCAGTGATGTCAATCTTGACGAGACAGAAGTAGAAGCGCTACCAGCAGACATTAGGGATCATGTTCGGTTCAGTCAGTCAGCGGGGGTTGGTTATAAAAACGCCAGTTTTGTGTGCACACTGCAAATACATCATGTCGCGATTGTTGCGTTTGCGTGTCAGAAGAAAGTGCAACATTCCGGGCGACAACATGATAACTGTTTTCTTACAGCCAGACAGAGCTTAGTGCACCACATTAGCTCATTTCTTGTCAACCCGGTTAATAACAAACCACGTTCCGTGTCAGTACCGAAAGACTACGCTTACACCTTCCGAATACAGAAAGTTAAGCTTGGATGGCACGGATCTGTCTATCCAAACGAAACGTGGCATATGTTGCTGTCCTACAATGTGCTGTCTGATAAACCGTCTGGACGTGAAAGATACTTCAGGATTTACTTTCACACTCCCGGTAGTAGTCATGCTTCACTGGTTGAGCAGCGTATTACTGACAGTCTGGAATACTACACGAGCAAAAGATCAACTTATTCGGATTCTGGTTTCTATTATGCTGAGGTCACCCATTGTATGAAGGGCTGTCCAGTTCTTCGAATTGCACATAAACGAAAACTGATGGTTATTCCTCAACCTGATATACTGTCGGCATGTTTACTGCACAGGCGATTTTCTTCAGTTGATTTTGACTTGCTACAAGCATGCTCCCAATCGACTGCAACGGTTCAATCAAGCGCGCTGTTTTATCTAGAGAAGTACTATATTTATTGTGTGATGAGGGTTATTGCGGCTTGGGAGTCTCTGTATAGTTTGAACTTCGAGTTGACAGAAGGTACCGCTTCAGGACTTAGGAACTTTCCTCATTTGAAGCTGGGCTCACTGACTAGTCCGAAAGGCTTCGTCATCCTGCTATTTCAAGTGATTGGTCCTGATCCGATTGAGCACCCGGGACCTTTGAATGCGACTTGTAAGGTTACGTTCAGGGAAAGTGATTTTTTTGAGGATGTTGACCTGCGTACTCCGAAACGTATAGAACCTATTTCGAAATCAGTACTTATTCTCGTTAACCACACAAGTGCTCCCATAATTTTTGTTCAGTCGGCGCAAAGTGTACAGTCAGAGCTGCAAAGTGCTATCCGAAAGTCGGCGATCAGGCCGAACCACACCGCTGTCAGATTTCACACCTCCGGTGCAGGAATGACTAATAAGATTCAGGAGAGCCCGTTAACGGTATCGCAACTAATTTATTTGGGCGTCCCGACAGGTCGGGTATTCATCAGACTCTATTTCCAATCTCAGCATAACAACAAGATATTCGCGGAACAGATGCATGCGTGTGAAACTATAATGACAAAATACTTGTCATCAGTTGAAATCCCTGGAACGCTGAAACTTCACCAATCATATATAGACTCCAGCGGTATCGGTTACATTAACCATTCGTTTTCATGTGCCATCCGGGCAGAGCACGTCGCACTCGCTATGGTCGTTTATAACGTGCACTCAACTAATCGGAACCTCTCAACTCTGGATCATGAACTGAGGATGACCAGTAAGATAGGCGAAACTATTCAATACTGGATGGACCAGCCAGCCAGCGGTGCACCATCCAAAGTTCTGCCCTGGACGGATATCTTAGCGAGTTATAGTATAATCAAACTTCACATGGGATGGAACGCATCGGTGGCGGTCGGTTCACCTGCGAATATGCTTGGAACAGTCCCAATTGGCGCTTATAATCTGTACTGCTTTTATAGAAAAGACAAGACGTTGGTCAATGTAACGGGTCGTTTTCAATTACTTCGAACAGCTCTGAAGCATACCTATCATTTCCAGTTGTCAAAAGTCACATTCGCAGATTCTGGAATATATGGATGTAATGGGACACAAAGCGGTCTAAGTTTTGTTATTTTTGGACCGCGCATGCTGGTTGTCCTACCCAACCAGTATCCCGTCTCCGTTTTGCTAAATGAGCGACCACTGGGCCCCAGAGATGCCTGGGTGGACGACCAGCTCACAGTGGTTGGTAACCGTTCGGTAGCCATCGTCTTCAGTGACTCGACGACCTTTCTGCATTGCCTATTTGAACTGCCTTCAAGCTCTGTTTGGGAATCCGAGCCAGGTTTACAGTTCACCACGGCTGAAGAAAACCATGGATTGAAACACAAATCTTTCAGCATACACAGAAACATAACGCACGAGTTGCATCCTCACTCAATCCATATTCCCAAAGCATTCCAACTCAGCAGCCTCATCAGGGTGAGTTGCACAGTTTCCTACACGTTACAGGTTGTGAATCCTTACGACTTAAATGAACCAGCTTCATATATTCAAAAGAAGGCTGAGCTGATTTTGTCAGTAAAAGCAGCCGTCCGTCCTAACTTATTCACAGAATTTTTCCAGTCCGATATGCCAGCACTTCGGACCTCATTCAGGGCGATAAAAAAGCAAGCAGAAACCGCCACTGAATTTCACAAAACACAGTTCGGACCCCCTCAGTTAGAAAAAATTGTTAAATTTAGCCTTCTCGTTTCCTTAGGGTTTCCTCGTGGGAAAGTCACTGCCTGGTCTTTATTTAAACACTCTAAAGATGAACGTTTATTGGTTGGTGAATGTGACCTAACACATATACAACCGATTGTCGGGTCTAGTGTCCCAGATGAATTGCGGACAGACGATGCTTACAGGAATTCGGAATGGCGTAACTTTGTAAATACTTCATTCGTATGTGTCCTCCGGCCTGAGCACCTGTCAATCCTGATTTTGGCCTACACTGCACCCAAAGACGTACTCCAAAATGTCCATACCCTGCAACGCATTAGATCAAATCTGAATAAAAATGTTCGGCATTGGTTGCTTCATCCAACAGACAGGACAAAGTTGGATTTCTATTGTCCGTTCAACACCCTTGCCACATATCGTGTGTCAAAAGTTAACATTGGTTGGCAGGCATCAGTAGCTTCTGGCAGTGCAGTTTTCATGTTGGGGTCAGGAGTTGGAAGAGAAGAACAAACAAAAATGGACTGTTTCTACCAGCCAAATGCTTCGTACGCACCAGTCCTGATCTCCGGAGGATGGTTCAGTTATTCAGTCCAAATTGGTAAGCGCAAGTATCTCTGGCTTAATAACTCACAAGTAGATTGTCGTGATTCCGGGATCTATCAGTGCCGCCTAAAAATGCTAGATACGGTAAATGACCTCAATTTTTCCGTAGGATTTGAACCTCGTCAGCTATTCGTTAAACCGGATCACTCGTTAATACGTGTACTGGTTACGAGGGAACAACCTGTGCTATCACAAGATCGACTGTTCGACCAGGCCACTGATGGGACAAACCCTGCTATAGTCCCATCTAATAGCACCAGTTATATTACTTGTTTCTATTCGCACCTTCATGCCTATCCGACACAACTAAGATATCGTTTTACCTGCGGAATGCTGAGTGAAAGAACTGCCGACTTAAGCCCTATTAATTCAGAAGCAGTTGGAAAGGAAGTATCTCAAACTTTGAACGGAGAAACCCGATATTTGAAGACTTGGAGGATCAGTATACCTCCATCTAGAGACATAGTGGGTTTCATACAAGCTACGTGTTACGCAGACTATTTCAATATGACACCACCAAATAACGACATAAATCAAGCTGAACTGGAGTACACCATAAAAGTGCACCAAATCGTAACAGTTGAATTCAGGATACCGTCCGTCCTATTTGAGAAATATATTCGGATGAGTAACCCTGCATTAGAGAATATGATCAGGCGTCAAAGTGCTGGTTCAGTAAAAAGTGCACTAGATTTCTTCAGAAGTGGTCCTACCCAGTGTGTCTTGGAGGGTATACTCCGCACTGACATTCTGAGTGCTCTAGGAAAGCCCAGGGGTAACGTATATGTCTATGTTCTATATACACACAGAAATCAAACTCGTGTGGCTGAGTGTATCCAACTGAATGTGAGGAATTTGACGAAACGAGACATTCCTCACGACGTTCAACAGAGTAGCTTCTACAAAGATGCACGTGGCGAGAATTTCATTCGGATTTCCACTGCATGCCCACTGACACCCATTCACATAGGTCTGCTTGTTATATCCATGACCATATTCACCCCTGGAGTAACGCCGCAAGTGTTAAGGCATACGTTCCTCTCATCGCTCCGCAAACATATTGACCAGTGGCTTGCGCGGCCATCCAGCTCAACACAAGCGGAATTCGATTCAATGGCAGACACTTCTATCGACTATCGATTGATGCATCTGTGCGCCCGTAGCCGTGCCACAGTCTTGGCTGGTTCTCCGATTGTTGTGTTTGGACTGTTAGGACCAGGAGGTGACGGTCAACCGCAATGTTATCACCAGCGGGCTGTCGTCTTACTCGACGGACCTGGGCACAAACAACAACGTACTTTGGTTGCCGTGGATGAGGCTGATGGGAATAGATCCAGCTTTCGCATATACACAAACCGCACTACGGCCACTTTTGAACTGATCAAACTAGATGCGGAGCCGCTTGATGCGGGCTTTTACCAGTGTTATGTTGAACAGTGTCCTCAATGTGGAGTCCATCACAAAGCTGTGGCTAGGCTAAGACAGGTGATTGTTTTACAAAACCCATTGGTAATGAGGCTTAACTTGAGTATACCCTTCTATGAACGTCTGACGGGCGATTTACTAACAACCAGTCAAGATCCAGGAGATACTGGTTTGGTCACAATACGTAGTCTCACCGTGTATCCAAAACAGCGACTCACAGCTTCATGCCAATTTCAGTCGCTGTCATTGGATTGGATGCATCCTGTCGTTCAACTACGTCACAAGCATCGTAGTGAGAAACTGCAAAACAAATCGTTACATGTATCCTTTCTTCGAGAGCGAAATACCGTAGACCTAAAACCAGATAGGATAGACTTAATAAGTATCGACCATGAAATACTGGTGCCATCAAAAACCAATGATGCCATCGATCATTATGAGGTAGCGTGTCATTTCAGTGTTTCCCATCTAACCACCGAAGATGACATCAACACGATGAAAAACTTTGTGACGCTCGATTTTATTGCGATCCTGATTGTCGCTGAACTCTACCACCCTGCCATCAAAGAAGATTCAGTCACCACGTCCCATAAAGCACTCACTAAGCGTCTGCAATCGCCATCAGCAACACAATCTACACGTTGGAGGCTGCTTTTAGAACAGACAGAGTTGTTGGAACGTATTCCTGAAGGACCATTACATGGAAGCTATTTGGTTGAGCTGGGCAGTCCGATGGGATGGACTGGTGCATGGCTTATTTACAACTATTCAAAAACCATTGAAAAAGATGTGTGCCACACAACTATTCAGTCTCGGTTTTCACCTGATTCGGCTACTCAGAAAGTGGAAGGTCCCAACTGGCAGCATGTCGATTTTGTCTGTCCGCTGAATTTAGATCATCGTGCCATCCTTGTATACGCAATGCATACATTAAAAACGGGAAATTCGGTAGATGAATACGAACAACACCTGTTGACAACCCTGCAGTCCACAATCAGGGGCTGGCTAGGGTTCGCGGATAAATTAAACATGAACGGTACTGATGACAATGTGACATTCGGCTGTTGCTGCACGGGAGTATACCGGTTCAGCTGGCTGCGCGTCGGTTGGCATGCTTCAGTCCCGCTAGGCACACCAATACGCATGTATGGTCGCCTGAGTACGTCAGTGGGCCAGCTCCCATCATGTACTTTTGCAACAGCTCTTCGGCAGTTTGAAGTAGATACAAAGTTTAAGATACGGTCCTCACGAACGATGGCATACTTTGAACTGCTCAAAGAGGTGGCGGATTTTGCTGATACGGGCTATTACACCTGTAGCTCAATCAATCATCAGAATAAAGGAGTGATAGGATTCACCCGCAGACATCTTGTGGTACTGCCGAACCATTCATTGGTTAAGTTGCTGTTGCATCCAATTCAGGATCCTATTTCGCACTGTACAGTCCGTTCAGGTGATCCAACCAGAAAGCGATTTACATATAGTTGCATTTATCCCATAGCGAAGGGTGCCGAACGTTCAGCTGCTTCCATTATCTCACACATGAAAGGGTACCCATCACCTGCGGATCAGTTACGCTTCAAACCGAAGCGGGTGTCAACACATTATGAGGACTACCGTAGCTTTCGCTCTGTGAATAAAACATTCGTCATTGAAATACCGACAGTCATCGAAGAGGTCAGACGGTGGCGCGTGGCATGCGAAGTGAAGTACTCCAAAATATGCGTGGAGTTCGACATGGTAGACTGCGTACCACATCAGAAGTTTACAAAAACACGATCCATTTCAATAACTGTGGAACGTAAACCACGCATTCTTTCGAACACGATAAACACTTCTCCCACTTTTCTCATTAAATACCTTAGGATTCCGTCAACCCTCTACTCGAATGATTTGGCGGTAAAGAGCGAGTGGCAAACAAACGATGAGTTGATTCCGGAAGGACAAATTCAAGTTACTTTTGAGGCCGACGTTGGTGATCCTCAGGGATGGGTATTAGTCTGGTTAGTTTACGAATCAGATGGAGTTCTGTACCAAGACACATGTTCTTCAGTGAGGATAGATGGGCGCAGTCAGATGCAAGAAGTTAAAGCACATTGCCTGGTGCAGTTCGCGCATGTTGCTCTGTTCATTGCTGCTGTTCACGACCCGACTGAGGAACAGGCGGAATACTCTGTAGAGGCTGGAGTTCGGCAACATTTGCTAGCCAATATGAGTAGATGGTTTTTGGACCTAGAGTCTTCTAATGAAGCCCAAGAACAAGCTAAGCCCTACTGTTTGGGAATTGACTACCGCATTGCACCTCTCCACGTAGAATGGCTCAGTGTCGTTCAGTTGGACAATCCAGTACAAATGTTTGGACGACGAGATGAGCGAGGAATAGATGGACTAGTGTGTTATCACAGTACACAGGTGCAAGAATCAGACGTAGGCACACTGATTCCGTTACACTTCCGTCTTGAGTCCGACAACGCTACAATGCAGTTTCAGCTTCGCACAGAACATGTTCAGGATACGGACACAGGCTACTATCGCTGTACACCAGCTGACAGGCGCCGTGGGTATGACAGTGTTGGCTTGCTTAGGCGTTATCTCCATGTTCTTCCTCGAGTGCATTGCAACGTGACGGTGGTTGACACGGAAGTGGATAGGGGCCATGCACCAGAAACTTTACCGAACGGAACTATCTACGTTTTTCCTGGTCAGCTTATCCACTTTCAATGTATTTTCAACCAAAGCAGGGCTTTTCCTTACTATGCAACCTACGGTTTACAGTATGATACACTTGATAGACAGACCGGAACATGGAAGCCAGTTGCCCATCCTAAAAACTCCACTGTCCTTAGTCAGATAGACGGTGAGAATCAGACTATCATTATTTTCACAGTACCTGTGCTCCAGGCAAGAGACGATGCCTCTGCAATGCGGATAAGTTGTGTAGCTACGTACGAAATTGAAGAGACTAGAGTGGCCAGTGTGAGGGTGAAGAAACATAATGCCTCCTGTTCGCAGACGCTTGTTATTTTCGAACCGGCAAACGGGGAGCTTGAAATCAAAACGCTGACGAAATCATTTCCAAGCAGACCTGTTCCAATCGGGTCCAGGTTCGAATGCACGGGTGGTTATGGCTTGCCTTCCTTAGAATATCGATGGGTTCGCCAAAGGTCACCGAACTACGGTGTGAATGGCACAAGTAACATATCTGAAGAATATGCTAGCTTACTGCCAACAGACTTTGGTGGATGGGGTGGCCCAGACAAACCAATGTTAGACATGCCGGAGCATGGTCTCCAGGTGGATGGAGCAGTTCTTCAAGTTCCACCTGATCCAACTTATCGAGGAATGAGTTTTTTGTATACATGTTACGGTACAAATGAAATAGTAGGAAGAGTGTACTCGATCAACAAAACTATTCATTTGACAGTTTCTATGTGCCCGACTAGTCGCGTCAAACTTGATTTGACGGTGGAAACCAGCCCAAAATTGTTATCCTGCTGTGCCATCTCTCCAAATCCAGATCCCGAAATCCAATTTTATGGTTACTATTTCCTTTCTTTCGTTCGTCAAATTGTGCTGAGCCTTCCTCTTGAATGGGATCGAGTGCGAATTAGTATACTTCGAGGTGATGTCACTGCACCAGCAGCAAATGATGGTGGGAAATATTATTCAAAATCCATTTCTTTGTCCCAAAATCTTCCTAGGACCAAGTTGGCCAAATGGCTGTATTCCAAAGAGAACAAGCCTAGAACAGACAGGACTGCTCGTTCATCTCTGCCGATGTCCTTGGAACAAATCGTCATTGCACTGAATAGATTGAACCCCGTTAAACAAAAATCAACCCATGTGGTTCTGCTCACTTTTGACAGCCTTGTTTCGGTCAATTTGTCCAGAATTGGAATGCGAACGCTTGCCGAACTTCACAGAACTAGGAAGCTTCAATTTGTGCTGTCTTGGGTGCACGCGAACAATGAAAAATTCGGTCCACTTGAGGTCCATATGAATAAATTGCTGAAACCCATCAAGGTGGCCCATATCTTACCGCGATTTCAAGGCACTAATCAATGTGATACTTGCAATTTTCCGTTAAACAGCAATGATCTGAGGATAAGGAGGTCGGATGTATTTGAGGTAATATGCGAACGTGGACATGTCCAGTCCCCGAAAAATCTGACCACACCTCTTATTGTAACTTCAGTACCTGAAAATCAATGGATAGCTGGGACGAATGTGTATGTTTCCTGTATCACCAACTATACGAACGTCACATACGCAGGCTTTCGGTTTCTCAATCAGCTCACCTTGTGTTTAACCGATTCGACCACACTGAACCGATTAATCAACAGGACGACGATAACCAATGCAACTGTGCAACAACTAGAGGATACTTGTGTGATGAAGTTGAGCACAACCAACCCTGCTGATGACTCGGCAGTTCTTTCCAGTATGATCAGTGTTGTTGGGAGAGTCAGAATCAACGGCGCTGATGCGCAAAATACATCGAATTACCAATTAACGCTGTGTTATGAACGCTTGGGTGAGGTCGATCCGGAGGTAAGTATTGTACATCATATTCACTTTATTTTTGAGAAATCACCATGTTTAAACCTGCATATTTGTAAACGTAACCACAAACAATAATCTAGTGTGAGTAGAAACCATGAGGTACTGGCCAGAAACTCTAATACAATGTTTCTCAACTAGCTGGGCTGCGGCAGGCATTCTGACTTCTTTCAGAAGAATTTATCCCTGGTTATCAACACACCAGCAGAATGAAAATACATCCCGAATGCATTACATCTTTACATTGATACTAGATCCAACCCTAGTTTATCAAGATGACGATGAAAGGGCTCCGTGTCTCAGGACAGTATTTATAATGGATCACAGAAAAAGTGCTTTGATATCTCAGCGATTGTTTTGATTTATTGCGGGTGTTCTCATGTTCACTCTGGTTCAACCAATCCTTACACCGACTATATAAAGACAGCATCCTATTCAGGTATCCATCATGTGATTATATTGGTTTCTGTCAACGGGCTTTTGAATGGAAGTAACTCTTTGGAAGACGTACGTTCGCTGAAAGTGTTGGCTAATGGGGCTTCGGATACTGCACTTCCAGCATCTGTCGTAGAATGTACCTAGTTAATAACTTCGCGTTTTAACCTATCTGACTGAACAGTAAAACGACCACTGAGACTGACTGCCATCAACAGAATAATAAGCATAATTGTTCGCTAGATGAAATTGTCATCTCATTTATTTCTGCTTTGATCTATTACCCTGACTGTGTTCAAAAGCTTGTTTCTGATTTTCAACCGAACTAGAGTAGCCATAACTTTGTGTCCGCCTCAACGATCTGCAACACGTTTTCTGGTGCAAGGGAAACTTGGCTCTTACTGTAAGTCGTCGGATGACTGTGATCCTCAACTATGGGTGGCATCACAGCCTCATCATGACGTACTCCCGTGCCTAAGCATGTATAGACTTAGAGTATCCAACAGAATAGGTGCACATACATTCTGGCTTTTTATTATCTCTTACTTAACGCAAAGTTCACACTTCTGTGCATGCCATACAAAGGTCAGCGCAGTCCATCATTCAAACCTTCGTCCTGACGGGTAGTCATTGTCAAAGCGTATAATGTCACATCTTGAGATCTGTTAAAGGATGACAATGACGTGCGTAAATTTCGCAGACTGCTTACAGGCGCAACAGGAAAATCAAGCCTTTGGACCACAATTGTTTCGGCTGTTTTCAATGATCATACTGTAGCACACATCGGTTCTCAGTTGGGCAGCATTCCACTTTCAGCAACAACTGAATGAGCTATGATACAGATGCCAAACACATTCACCACGTGTCACTGTCTCACCCGTCCCTCACCTATCCCTACCACGTAGCATTGTACTCCGTGTGTTCGTATCCTAGCTTCGTTATCGCAACCTATCGACCAAACAGGTATTTGAAAGTCGCTCTGGAACATCCATGCCGGGGTTTACTGGAACATTAGTCCGGCGATGTAATGGGCCAGTCGGGAATTTGGATATGTTGTAACTAGTCGTTGATTACGTAATTCAGTTCTGTTTCTCGGCAATATACAGGCTGATTATCTGAAAACATATCGTTCCTCGCAGAGGACTATAGTATTGGCTTACAGTCGCCTACAGTATGATTAGGAAAGATCTGGTAAGTTTTTAGGAACTTCAGTCATACGCAAGAGCCAGGTGGCAGATTACGTTTACGCCTATCAGATAAACTCAAATATTTGCGAATTTTGGAACAACTATACCCGTACACTAATTAAAACATCTTAGTTAGAAGGGGGAAGATGGTAGATACACACATTTTGTATTTGTTTGTCAGTGTCAAGCTATAGATTGCAAGGAAATGAAATTTTTTCATTCTGTACAAAATAGGATTCGCTTGTTTTCAGACTGACCTTTCAATGTGCTTTACCGTAGGTAGCTCAAGGTTAACACCAATTTTCTTTTGGACACAATGTAGGCATGAAGCGAGTGATTTTTGTGGTCTCGAAGAACTTGAGAATGCGTTCTGAACAAAACAGTGTACACTGAGGTCAAATGGACTCAGTGATCTGTTACTGAAATATGTCTGATAATTGATGATCGGGTAGGCCACGATTAGTCAATGGTCTCGAGTTTCTATCTGCTTTTGCGTTCTGGAGTTTGAGTTTTTCTGGCTCTGAAAAGCTTGTCAGTTCTGCCAATGTGACGCTCTCCACAGTTGCGTTCGAAATGATACATATAGTGTAAGTTGGTTTCAACAAGTTTCGCTGATTAAGGCTTAGGGGGCCGGCTCTTCACAGCGCTCACACTAGACTTTTCGATATCCGAGCAGCTGACTTATCCAGAATAAAGAGGAAGTGCGTGAGTCTTTTTGGATATATTGTCGCAATTATGAAGCCTCGGTCTGATTTGATTATCGTTTTATGGAACATCAATTTCACCGCCTGCCTCAATCGAACCTTAAGTGCATTTCCAGCGTACTCCCCGAAACAGAGTTTTGGCGACATCACATTTCTGCTTCCTAGGGTTAGTGTTTGAAAAGAGCATCTACTGCATTGACCATGCAGATCTTCCGTACACATTCAACAGTTCCGTCGGGACTATGTGTGACAAGTAGGTATACTTAGTGAACCTAGTCCTCAACTTCTGTGAGATTAGAGTTTATTTTATTAGGGTGCTGGACAAAATTCGTGGCTTTTGTGCCTTAACCTTAGACGGGATCAGTGCGTCATCGCACAGTTTATAATATACTATCTGCGTGTTGGGGATATCAATATCCCCAAAAAACTCTGTATCTTCGTGTGCTAGCGAACTTCCGACATTTTTCAAGGTCAAACTATGGATATATATATATATATACTGTCATTTTTTCGGATTCGCCTGTTGATCGCGTGTTGTTTGGCTCATTAAAGTTGTTTCCGAGGTTTCCTTCTTCTTACTACTCGCAGTGCTAGGAGTCTGGATCAAGCAAGATAGCTGAGGATAGAATACTGTCACAGTCCGCATATCATATTGTTTGCTCGCTGCTTGATCGAACCGTAACACTGTGGTATAAGATTAGTAGTTTCCTTACTATTGGTAATTTGGTGACATCTTCCTGTTCTACTATGGTTTCTTTGAGGCTGGTAGCTGGTGTAACGAGGATGGGTTTGCCGATCCTCACGCATTACTTCGTCTATTGACGCTTCTTGAGCTCCTCTGTTTTATTTTTAAACAGAAGTGACTGAAAAATAAGCGTTTGCCTAATTTTGAACTGGACCGCAGCAACCAGCTAGTTTTGTTTTATCTGAATCCACTATTATTATTGTCTGCTGTTCCACAAAATATTCCATTATTCTTTCAGCTGTTCGATGCCACCATATACTCTACGCTACCACTAAAACCTGTCGAAGTGACCATCGGTGCCCCGAATCTCACGGTTGTTTGGTGGTCAGGATTGAGGGAACGGGTTGCTGTATTCCAATGCACATTCTTCGGCTTCGTCAGTGACCTCGAGGCTGTGTTACTGTTCAGATTAACCAAGGATGCTGCTGATGGATCCTATTTTATTGGAGCTCGAGCAACACCCAGACCATTTGGACCCCTGTTTACTGAAGGTGTCAGCCGGCTTTTGTGGTTAGAACCCGCTACTCAGGAAGAATTTGTCGATTTTTGCTGTTTGATATGGCCGAAATCTGTTGCCATTTTTAAGAACCAAATCACTTTGACCGAGATTCCTTTTCAACTTAGTTCGGTTAACATCGGCTGCACATTCAACCGCACGCGCCTTAATTCCGACTGTCCAGTAAGTCCGACAATCACTTTGGATCCTGACTTGAACGAAACTCATTTGCAGTCGAAACCAGACTCATTGCTTGCTGCGTGCATCTTGCCAGCCACCACGCTTGCAGTACCACTGAAGATGTACTTTTTATCATCGGAGCGTTTCGCCGGTATGTGCAATATAGGCTCAGGGGATATGAAGGGAAACGAGACAGTAACAATTCCTTGTGAAGTTGCCAGTGAAGAAGACACGAATTGTACACAACTCGTCACTAGGAACGATTTGTCAGGTCATACTGCAGGCTTTTCTTTCACCTGTTCGATGAGTCGGCAGCCTGGTTCACATTACTGGTTTAGACATATTGAGCTAAAGATTGATGAAGTTACATACAAGGATTTAAATGGTCGTTTGTTCTGCGAAGCCCTTCCGGACCCAGCAGTTTTTCCAAATGTTCATCCCCGACTAACCAGCCCGGTGAAGAAAGTCATCTACCGTATACCTCCAACAATCGATCGTTTCGTATACAATTCGGAAGGAGAAATATGGGAATGCTTTGGATTCGAGTATCCCACCTCTGAAACAAAGAGAATTGAAGTAGTAAAGGCAAGCCCTATCGAGAGAGCAGAACGCATGAAAACCTTCCGGAGCACAAGCTCCAAGTTTACCGTTCCCCTGAAGGGTGCCACACACCTGCCAAGAAATAGTGCAAAGTTTAATGTTGCCCACAACTGGAACGTTACGCTGTCTCCACGCCCAGCGATACTTCCGGTGTTCGAGGACAGCATTATCACGCTACGTTGCATCTTCGGCACAGAACACAAGGAACTGACGATCACCATACCTAGTATGAAACCCCCTGTGCAAGCCGGAGGCAGGGAAACTATCAACTGTCTTTTGCAGCATGAGGTTGGGGACCCAATTAGACAAATAATCCTGCAGCGTCGACTGCATTCATCCTGGTTAGATTACACTGTTACAGTCGGAATCATAAGCACCATCCAGTGGACAGGAAACGGCTGGTTCTTAGTGGCAGAGGAAGAGTTGCAACTGCGTACGTTTGGACCATGGATATATAACAGTCCACAAGTCCAGTTGGCCATTGAACATTTTTCAACTCAGATGGTGGCGTCCCTAACTGTTATTGGTACAAGCGTGAGTTACCCAAATGTCGAAGTTCGTACATGGTAGTATTTCATTATGACGTAATACACTACTCTTCGAAAGAATATATTTCGCCAGCTGGGTTTTTCACTTGTTTCGTCTTGCCTCTTCCCACTAAATCTCTTTTTAGCAGCGAGTCTATCTTTTAGATAGTTAACCTGAACAGTGACAAGAAGCAAGTGATATTCCCTTTATTTTCGTCAGCAAACAACGTAAGGCAAGCTGGCTCACAGAAAAGATGGTAGGACCATTAGTTACCGAAACACATGCAGCTCAGAAAAAAGGTAGACGTGGAACTACGTTAGCGTTAGTTTCGGCAGATGCTTAGTGGAGACTTTCTCTGCGCACAACTGGTTAATGTATCCCAATCAACAAAGCTTTACCGATTTCCAACATGTAACATCACCAAAAATGATCACAGTGGACTTCAAGGTGGAGCAACAGAACAAGCCGAATCAGTGCCAGCAAGAAGTGTTTCCAACCTCTAGCCAAACGTTTTCCGGCTCAATGTTTAGACCATACATGCGAGTAGAAAAGTTAGCCTATGAATATGATGATAGGTGAACCCTAGACTGTATAAAAAGGATACTAGACAGGAAGTTCTTCGTCTACATGTGCACGACAACCGTTTGGAACGTTGTGATTTGAGTTCACCAGGACAACAACGCGCCCTCTGAATTGACATCAACATTCAACTTCCACTCATTAAAGTAAATGAATTCTGTATCTGATTCTTATCCGGCATATGCAGGTTTTCTCGAAAACCGTTATATGTGGAATAAAAAATTTTTGCATAAAAATGTTGCATTTTACGGTATGTATGACTAAACCAACAACCACCATAATCGGCCTTGCTTTCGTTGGAAAGACCAGTCTCCTCTCGTAATTTTTGGTGCGCATTCAGTTTCACAGTTGCACTGCTATGGCTCAACAAGCTGGGGGTTCGACTTCAGATGTATTTGTTGAGAAATTGGCGACTGTACGGTTTTCATCCTTTACCGCATTTTAAAAGGCGTTAAATGAATAAACGGGAGAAGAGAATGTGATATTTGTGCGTGCTGCGGGAAAAAGAAGTACCAGCTCTGCTTCACGTTATGAATGGGTGTACTACAAATGCAGCAGGCAGCCAGCGGAGCCATAGCGAATTCGGGAAATCCGAAGAAGCTTGTAGGTTGGGCGCATTTGTTAATAACGTGCACTCCATCAGTATGGTTTTGTCCGAGGGGACAGGGGAACTGTCTCTCGGCCACCTCTTATTACCTTGAATACAACCATAAGTTGAGAACGATTTTTTAGCGACCGACGCCATGTGAATTGACGGCTAACCGAGGAGCCTAGCGCCTGCGGAGCCTTGCTGAAGTATAGAACTTCATCGTATGAAGTGCGGCATTTTGTAGCCGATGATTCTACAGGGTTCTTACCACCCAGGACGTATACATTTACCGCCGGTGATGTCGAGTTGAGTAAGTGACGGACATTTGGGCTTTATGGTGGCAGATGGTATGTCTTCCGTCATGGTTAGGCTTTGCGATTTCGTCGGATGCTGGTATTGCAGTCTGGGGAAGGTCACTACAGTCACATATGTTCCACCTGATGGCCATAGATAGCAGTGTTCCAACGTTTCCCAGATGTACTAAATATCAATGTTATATAAACTACCAACCGATTTGGGTTTTTTTTCAAGCAGCTAATATATGGCCTGTATACACAAGCCGTACACGTTCCTGACCACAGGTAGCACGGGTAGCGTGCCTCCAGTTATGTATGCCTTTGTGGAAAGCGAACAGTTCGCTCCTATGCGTAAACTGTTCGGCTTGTTTAGAGACATGATGGGCAAACAGTATCAAATGAATAAGTTTGTAGTGGACGTAATAGCGGCAGAAATGCGAACGGCGAGATTTATGTTCGGCTGCCATGTTATATTCGCATAGCAGTCAGGAGGCATGTACGTATCATATAGCATCCGTGTATTTTGGCCACAGGCACTCTGCGAACAGCTGACGTATTCCGCCGTATGGCTCTACTAGACAATGCCGTAGGTGGCTTTTTTGTCTATCATAATAGCACAAAGATTCCGGCAAGACCTGCAATTGCTGCGTCGCGTGGAGGCTAGATTCGTCCCATACCTCACATCCCACTGGTTGTATATCACCCGAAAGTGGGTGGTGCACCCACAGTCCAGGATGGTCCACTTTGGCAATCTGACCAATAACTGTCTAGAGGACTCCAACCGTCGCCTGAAAAAGTGGGTGCATAACACAGACGCTCTCAAACCTGCCATACAGAGGATGTCACGGCACGCTGAGTGGCTCATATGGGATTAGGAGATGCATCTATCTATCTACCTACTACCTGTTTATCTATCTATCTATCTATCTATCTATCTAGCCATCTGTGTATGTATCGCCGACATATTTGCACTCACAACTCTTCCGAAATTGGACGAAATATCACAATTAGACCACTCAGTTTCGAGTCCTTTTTACTATCCCAGGAGTTTCCATGCAATAGACTATTACGAACTTGTGACCTCCCTTTTGTACTTGATCGCCGACGGCGTCTGTCTAAATTCGTTAGCATCAGGTTTGGTGAGAAACTTCCTCGGTTGCCTGTACCATGTTTCTTGATCGGAATCGATTTCAGCTCACAAATGGCACCTCATCAATGAGGAGTTTGAGGCTAATTAGCTGGACCGTATGGTTGCATTTATGGTTTTTGCTGTTGCATGTTTTAGCATAATTTTTTACTCGGTAGAATTCGGTCGTTTGGCAACTCCATAAGAACACTATGGCGTGGAAGAAAACCCAGAGCAAGCTTCATCCATCTTGAGGCACCTTGGCTACACCTAGTACCTCAAGTTTATCTCAGTTTTTGGCATTTGCTTGACTATCCGGCAAAATGCACTTGTATCGAATATGCTTCTGAAATCTGGTTGGATTTTGCTTGCCTAAAATTCAGTAAAGACGCACAATACGGTGATGTATTCACTATTTTCGCGAACGATAGCCAGTAAGTTCATGTGAGAGAAACCCTTATGGTTACCTTGAACCTGAATGCCAGTAGCGTTAAAGTGCTCAAATTTGCAGAAGCATTACATAGACTAAAATCGCCTACGAACATTCCAGCATCCAGTAAAAATGGATGACTCATTAGCCCGCTAAGTCTCTGTTTTTATTTTTCAGTCTTATGTTTCTTGTCATCGAACATGAAGGACCACGGGATGACTAAAATTTATCGACTGCTTGGTCAGTCCACTGGTAGTTCACTGATAATTCACTAATAGTTCAATTCTTTCAGCTCTTGAGTGTTCTTCTGTTTTTCTTTTGCCCTAATGATTTACAAGCTCACCCGACCGCGCACTGATGATTTCCCCTCGTTTGATGACTAGACATTTACGAATTAATTTCCAAGCTCTGTGAAAAAAAAATCACCAACCCGTTTGTCAATGGGTCGAAATATTGGTAGCTCTGGTGTTTTTATTGGGGTTTGCTAAGGGGCTGTTGAAAAATCACCAACCCGTTTGTCAATGGGTCGAAATATTGGTAGCTCTGGTGTGTTTACTGGTGCTTGCTAAGGTGGCTGTTGATCCGTTCAGCGAACAATTTCGGACACAATAGTGCTCACTCGATATTCTATCTTTATAGTAGAATCTTAAATCATCAAATTGCGATCTGGCAACCTGGACTCGGTCATGTACGAAGAAAACCAACAAGGGGGAATATCCGCTGTCAAGAATGTCTGGGTCTGATTTTTATCATTTGTTCAGCTTTCCAGTGTGCAAAACTCTTAGAGAATCCAGAATGAGCAAGTGAACGGGGTAAGCACTTCGGTGTCTCAAATACCGGGTCTTCTACTGAAGTTTCATTTCACCTCTGAAATCGAAAACTGCCCTATTCTTGTGCGATGTATTTTGGTGGAAAAAGCACCACTGTTCTCTGGTGAGACTGTTTGAACCGATCAACTCATGACTGGAGTTTGGTTGAGGTAATCCTTTCGGTGAGATAATTTCTTGTCAAATTTAGGAAACCTTTTCCGAGGATGGTCTCTGCCGGAGTAAACAGCTAGGAATAGAAAAGATGTGCGTTCGTGCTGCTGCGAATTGATTGTTGTCCGGCGATGTCCATTACGGTGAATACTGACAACATTAAACTTTTCCATTCTACGCACCCCTGAAGCACATTTGTCTTCCTCTCCAAACAGGCACCTGGTCTTTTTGTTTTGTAGGAATTTGATAGCGGCGAGTTCTACTGCACAGGATCAACTATTCGTGGAGTTTATGTCCACCAAGATCCAACTGCAATCACTTTGCTCGGGAATCAAAACGATTTCGTCATAGCACAGCGACTGGTACAGAGAGAAAATCTGTGGTCCACCTCTCTGCCGGTCGTGCTCGTTGAAGATGTCATCCAGACCAGGTGTACCGTTTGGACCACAAATCCAGGGTACCGTTTCCCTTCCACATTCCAACTGATTCCATTCGATCTGCCGGTGCACTACAACCGTACCATGTATACAGAAGCCCAACGAAATTCTCTGATCGTTCGCACAGCAGACCAGTACCATATGGCAATCTCAGGTCTAACTCCAAATCAAACACGAAAATGGGTTGGCTGCAGAGTTCAACAGTCTGGTGGTCCAGTGAAAGAAAAGTGGATAGCTCACCCACACGTTACTTGCGAATCACCCAAAGAATTGTACTGGGAACCACAGAGCCATACAAGTTACACACGTTCTGTTCGATTGCAATGTCGATCAACAGGAGGATGTGCAAATCTCCGATATTGGTGGGAATGGACTGCAGGACCTCTGCCACAAGCCACTTTGGATGCAGCGGAAATGTCAAACGTGACACATGCCTGTCACAATGAATATCTCCTCTTGGACCGCCTACCCAGAGCAGGGCCGTATGTATTCCGATGTATGGCATCTTGCTGGTGTGGTGAAACTCATTTGACCAGCAAAGTAACTGTCACCTTCTTCTTGGTAGAGGACGATCAAGCTGATGATATTCTTGAAGGTTTAGCAAATAGGACACGAGTTGGAATCCCTGTGGACCCTGATGCATCCGAAACTGAAATAAAGCGGCCATTGGACCCGCTCACAGAAGACTTGGAGGAACGCAAGACTGATATACGCGAGGACTTCGAAGGAAAAGAAACAAAGGCTGCCATGATAGGACCGGAGTGGCCACACTACTGCCGCCAAACAGCTGAAGGAGATTATTTATGTGTAGCCCACGAACTAGATCGGCTTGAAAGCCGTCAGCCAGATTCACTGGATGGCTGGGCTTTTCCTTTACCAACAGAAGCTGATTCTCATAAATTGGAAAGGAAGCCGGAATACCCTGTTGACCGCGTCCAAAAATCGAAACACATAACGGATGAAACACTGTTGCGCCAGATGTATGAACAATATACCTTAAATCGACGTGATGACTACAGACTGGTTCTTGAGCACCGGAAACACTGGTTGCTAGATCAGTCGATCGCCCTAAGGCCTGATATTTATCTACCGGCTTACCAAGAAAACTTTCGTTTATTGGATGATGTTCAAGTGGAATGGGGAGGCAAATGGACTGAAAAGAGTGAACGTCTGACAAAGTTAGAAAAAACGAACAAAACCATATGTTTGGACTTTGAAGGAAAGAGAATAGTGTGTACAGCTAGGCTAGTCTCCGAAACAGGAAAACTGCTGGAAGAAAGAGAAATAGTTGAGTATCCTTTTTGTGATGCACACTGCCGTAGGCTTAGACTTCAGAACTCAATGAATGATTCACTGAGTGCGTTTGCGGAATTCCAAGCTAGGACTGATAATTTGAGATCGCTGAAGGAGAAACAAAACCTAAGTCAACGCATCGGGGCGATGGGTTTGAGTTGGCCAATGGAAAAAAGTGAACGAGAAACTGAAGTCTTGGGTGCTACTGGAAGACCAGGAAATCACTACCAAACGCATGGCAGGTCATCAAGAAAAGCCATGTCCAGTGCAACAAATAAGTTTGAACTATCTGGTAAAGTGGACTTTACAGAAGTCCACATCGTTCCACCAATTGTCGTCCTACCCGGAACCGCAACGGTGTTATGCCCAGAGTTTCCGTACAGGAAGACATCGCCCAATTTCAGACCAGTTAGAGTGTACTGGAGACACGCGCATTCTTTGAATGACCTGTATAACCAAGAAATAGTATACGAGACGTCCCTTTTGGTGCGAGACACTAGGAGTGGTTCTCCAAGATACAATAATCCGGACCGTGTCTTCGCCTATCCACCGCATCGCTGGTCTAATGCGTACACACTCGATATTAAACCACTGCACATAGGAGACTACGGTTTTTATGGATGCACAACCACAGTGATGAGTAGTCGCTCAAATTCAGGCTACTTAAATTTCACGAGGGTCTCTCCTGTTCCACTGTGTGTTGTCCCCGAGACCAAAGACGTCAACCCACCCTCGCTCTACTTGGCCGATGAGTATGTTGGTGTACTCCAAGAATCTTCACGGGGAATGAAGTCTGTCGACGCCGGTAGCTGTCTTGCTGCTGGAACTCTTATCCTGGTCCGCTGTGAATCGGTTCCAATGCAGATGTTTTGTGAGAGGAAGGATATGCTGAACTTTGGACAGCGTTTGATTCGTACTGAGTTGACTGCAAGCATTCGGTTCACTGCAGAAGGTCAGCCGTCGCGTACGATAACACTCAGTGAGGGGCATGAGGTATCGGAGTCAAAGATTGCAGATTCAGAGGACGAGTCAGTTGATGCTCATGAAATCATGGCTCTTCCCAAGGTAATCCGGGAATGGTTCGTAAGATTGACTCCAGAATTTGGAGGCGCTCAGCTGAGTTGTACAGCTAGACCACAGTTAACGAACGAACACACGCTACCTGTTTCAACCTATTGGTTATGGCTAGTAAAGCAGTTTGTGAAACGCGAGATTGGTTTAAAATCAGCCCGTCAGTCTTTATTCAGTAGTTCACTGTGTGTGGTTCCGAAAAGAGGCCAACTAGTAATTCAACCGAAATTGGTCATTTCAGAAGTGCATCCTATAGGAGTCGCAGTCGCTGAGGTTGGACACACTATACAATGCAGCGTTGGGTACGCCGGCATCACCCACCCAGTTATCCAAGTGTACCGGATACAACGGTCACAACTGAGGCGAATGTTCACCCACTCGAGACATGAATTTCTGCAAAGCTTAGCTAGGCCCTTAAACTGGCCGAAGCAGGAGACGCCCTATTTCGCACGCCTTCTAATTGCAGAAGAAGCACAAGCCGAGGAGACCTATTACGTTCGCTGTTCCATTGAGCGAGAAAACATGGAAACAGTGAGTTTCGTCACTTTTCTGATTTTTTTCCATTTTCCTTCCAATTATTTTCAGGCGACCTATCAGTCACACCAATAAACTGGGCTGATACCGCACAAAAAAAAACAAGCGTAGATGTATCTTTCAACAGTAACCCCCAAATTCATTCTAACTCCATAACCTCTTATTGAAGATCATATATAAATAACCTTTTTTCAAATTGATACAGGCCATAGCAATAGCTGGAAACCCTCTGGCCCTCTATTACGCCCTCTGAATTGGAGGTTGTAAATGTAAAGGCATTACAGTTAGCTTGTATCAGGTTCTCCTCATGGGGACAGTCTCTTTCCTCATCAGGAAAATAAGTCGTTCCGCATGTGACACAATGTTGCTTGACTATTCATGTCAACGCCAGATTGAAAAATGGGCCCAAAGTGTAGCAAGGGTGCAAATGTACTGATCACTGGGTTTGTTGTACAAGCCCGTCTACCGTTTTCAGCCTGTTTTGGGCAAGTCCCATGAGTACCCGAAGCGACAGCGATTGACCACATTTCCCATATCAGAGGAGACCAGTCTAACTGCTGCTTTTTTCAGCTGTCTATTTCGGGAACCATAGCACGAAAGTGTCAGTTTTGAATACCTTCCTGCCAAAACAAATTAGTCTGCGTTGAGAAGCCTCATGGACACTTGGATGTAGAACCCAGAAATCCATTGGTGTAAGAGTGTTGCGGTGTAATGAGTTAACTTTAAAATCATCCCAGCAGTAGAAAAAAATGGCTTATAAAATAGACAAAACCGAACTTGGACCTACGCATTTCAAGAGCTTCGAAAGATCCTTTTTTGGCATACAAAAAATGGGTCTTCAACTTAGCTAAGTTAAATTACCACTCTGATCTTTTGGTATAAAACGAACTGAGAGAACTTGCTCAAAATTTGGGAATGAAATCTTGTGGTGTGAGAAAAGGAATTACATTCCCAGGTGGTCTCTGGTTTTATCATTTTTTCTCTCTGTTTGTTCCCTTTTTCCTCCGACATACACGCAGGACTTTATCATTGAAATACAGGCAACACAGGACAAATTTTGGAGTGGTTCGTTGTCCATTCTTACTCCGTGCTTGGCCATTGGCCTGACGGTATTGGTGCTGATGGAGATATCGGTCTGTTGGTGTTGGCTGATCAGTCGGAGGCGTCGGTTGCTGTTCAGTCAGGTTGATGACTTGGAACTCGGATTGGCACTATCAAAGTGATCGAGGGGGCATACAAACAAGAGACGCCTAAAAACAGTTTCGTGTCTGTTCGTTGCTGATCCGAATCCAGAGGGGATGTAGTCATCCTCGGTAAAGAAAATATTGCGTGCCTGCGGACCCTCCGCAATGAATCGATGTTTGGCCGTCAATCTGGTACGGATTAAAAGCTGACCGAACTTCAGCATATTCTTCCTCTCATAAAACAACTGTATTGGAACCGATTCACAGCGGAGCAGGGTTTGATGTCCACTGATAAGACTATACTGAAGCCGTCTAACTTCGGATTCTTGCCCAATTGCTACAAGTCATACCATGTGCATCCACAATACTAAGACATACTGTTGTGATAACCCTGGACGGATGAACACAAAGCAACGCAACAGGCCAACTATGACCGAAATATCACCAAACTATGTCACCCAGGCATGCAAAGTCAAAGCGTTCTGTTCCGAAATTCCATTGGTGCGTTGTCAAATACATAGAATGTTGTCTGATGATGTTATAAATTGGGAACTACATCTGGAGCAGGCCTAATCTTCCCATTCAATCTCCCATTCATCTCCAGTAAAACGATAGGAATGTCACTCAACAATGGACCAAGACGACAACCCATGGCGACTTCATCGATTTGTCAGTAAAATGTGGAATTAAATTGAAATTAAATTGTAAGTGTACGTTGAAACCATAGTGAAGAAGTAGTCCCTTTAAGGAGATGAGCAGTTGGATTGTGAAATCCAATGAGTCGGTATAAACACAAAGTTTGTAGTCTCCAAGAGTGGGACTTGGTAAAAAAAAACTTACGTTAAAAAACACAAATTTGGAACCAATATCAACATCTTTTATCAGCTCCAGAAACTCAGTGTCATGGATACTGGCACAAATGTCGGCGTAAGGGTTCTACAGTCTGGACCAACCATTGGGCAGTTGCGTGATATGGGGAATTACACATCCAAAATCAGTCTCAATAGAACACATTTCTCACGAACCATAAATCGGCCGAGCTATGACTGCTCCGGATTGCCACCCGACTGGAAGACTGGTGTGCGCATTCGTGACCAGTTAACGAGCATGACACAAAACAACTATAATAGGTGAAATCAAGCACGGACATGTTTTGTTTGAACACGAGGTCGGGTGTCGCAGCGAATAGACACACGGAGAAATACAGACCCACCAAGGTGGGCGCACGTGATAGCGCATGACTTGATGCATCTCCCACCGTGGGAAGATACTCATTAGTAGCGTTGCTTCCTTGCAGTTCAAACCCAACCTTCTTTTTGGGCTTTGGCAACCTAGTGGTATCCCAGCCCCCGCCCCTACTTCCGCTGTCACGAGAGCTAGGCACAGAAATGGTGCTACAGCTGGAGGATCTTTTTTTCTTTGTGGGGTTCATACAAAAGCACTGGCACGAGTCCGTCAAGAATGTCTGGCTTCAGAAGCCACGGTGTGCTTGGCTTCACAGTCCTCTTCTGTATTTTGGATAGTCCCCCTGAGTGCTTCGAATGCATCCGAAGGAACATCAAGCGAAAGGTTATTGTATCCGGTGACACTAACAGATGTAGTTGTGTAGCATGGTCAAATGCGCTTGATGATACATGTTTGCATATTGTTTCCAACTACAGGTTCATAAATTATATCTCCCAGGCGATAATTCACAATACCAGGAACCACTATTCGTTTATGGCCTTGAAGGATAGGCAGATCTACAGAGCAGCCCGGCGAAACACCCGCAGATTTGCTTCGTGATGTTGCTTGAACTGACAGTCTGCTTTTTTGTTGCATTTTACTCTTGTGGAACTAGTTGTGGTCTGTGTTGTTCCAACTCTGCAACTAAGAAACGCCTCCAGTGGTGAGCACTGGTTTGAAACTATCATGCTTGATTTTTCGCAATGCGTGCACAGAAATAGATCGAGAATGCCACTGGGAATCCTTTTTCCAACAAGTTTCTATGGTTATACCTTGAATACATGGACAAGTCCTTCTGCTGTCTGTTAGGACTGGGAATGGCATGATGGATTCCGCACAGGCTTGGTAACAAACTATCTATAAAAATCAGCGAATTGTGACAAGGTGAACCGCGGGTCATTGTAACTGACTACTGAATCTGGCAGGCCGAATTGCGATAACAATCGATTTAGGTACGAAGTGATCATCGTAGTTGAAATTGCGTCCGAGGTTAGTATTTATGGCCGTTATGAATAAGCCTCGATAGACACAAGATAGCTGATTCCGTCAATGAGAACGCGGACTTTGTGAGGCTGGCCATGACTACCAATCACATTTACTAGGCAACTTTGAAGCTATGGCACATTGGGGGCGTGTGCGAACCGACTATTGTACATCCTGGTCCGTGAATGGCTCATACAGAACTTACAGTGAAGCGTAGGTTCGACAATCCCGAATATCAGAAGGAAAAATTGGGTTCGTAATTCTACGGTAAGTCAATGTGTACAACAAACCTGATCATGTTCATAGCGTCAACAAGTTCACAAGTCTGTCACTCACTGACCGACACAGTGTAGTGTCAACGTGAGCACACCAAACTGAATGTTGGCTCAGTAGTGTGGATTGTGGTCGTCCCTTCCGACGACGGTCTCGTGATTCTCAATGGACGTGCGATCACACGGAACCAATGAGAAAACAAGTTAAGGTAGGCTCAGCAAACGGGACATGAACGCGCATGGGTAAGTAGGTCAGGAGTGCACATTCACACACAGACAAGGTTTGGAAAGGACGGCCTCTGCGGCAAGGTGAGTGGCGAGTATGGGTAGGCAAAACAACTGAAGATCAAAAATACGTGGACAGGGTAAGCAAATGAATGGGGAATTATCATAAGGTCAAGTTAGGTTCAACAGCCAGTAGGTGCAACCTATAGAAATCGATTTTGTTCGGCCAGTTCCTGTGTGTTTACCATGGGTTTGTTCTAGTGCTTTGTCTTGCAGTTTTTTTAGGTAAAATCCCCCGATTATTAACACCACACACCCGTCAATGGCCATGAATGCAAAACTTTGCCTTCTGACCGCAGGTCACCTGTCCTGAAGATACCTCGTAATTTGTTGTATTCCCGGATCTTTAAATATTTCAGCCGTAGCCGAAAGATGGGGTCAGACGCGTGAATTGCACGTGAAACGCCCTAGCCTCTGATGATGGAAGCTAAAAACAAAATCCTCATCTGACTTCCTAGCTGTGAAATCGGTGATCAATCCTGACGAACAGTCTGAGCGTTCTTCCGCAACTTGGTTCAAAACTGCATGCCAGTAGTGTTGTTGTCCATCTTTGGAGTCTATTAGCTGTTTTGCTGCGGTAGATGGATAACGGAGGCTTGAGGTCAGTATGCAACTCAAAATATCGACAGTGAATAGTCTTCTGAAAGTTTATGACAGCAAACACAAGAGCTAGTCCTTCTTTTTCGATCTAACTGATGCTTTGAATTTAGGTGAAACGTGTCATAGCTTTTTGCCTACCATCATTGAAACGATTCCATTGGAATCATTGACAACATTGATAGGCTGCATAGGGTCGTACTGCGTGATTAATAAGTCGAGGTAAGGATGATCTTAATTCACTCTAAAGTTTTTGGTATATCGATACCCAAAATCAGTTTGCGCCTTCTGATGAAAGAGCGTTAAAAGATGGCCGTAATCCAGACGGCTGGGGTACAAAATTGTGTTGCTAATTGACTGGATAAAGAAATGTTGGTAAGGCTGTTCCAACAAGAGTGATGTGAACACGTGTAGCACGTGTGTTCATTTTGCGCAGTGTGAAAACGCTGGTCTGAAACCATGTACGGCCATTCCAGCTTGACAAACAAAAATTACTTGACCTGATGTGGGTCAAGGTCGTAAGCATGGCACTTGATACAGATGGTAGCAGTGTAAACAAACTGGATCGGAATTTGTGAGTGCGCATGTGGTGATCAAACTGTTCGAAAGACTAGTTAAGCAAAGGGAGCCTTTACAAATCTGATGACGGTAGTCGTAGACCCACCAACTTTCTCGATGAGCCGCTAGGGTATGCGATTGTGACAGTGGTTAATGGTGTCTTGTGTAATCTCTTGGAGGAATAATAGGGTGCTTTGAAAACTCGGGCAGGATGTTATTGGCCAACCACTAAACCACACATTGAAGGTAATTGTGAATTATTGGGTATAACATGTGAATCGAGGAGTTATCACGTAGCCTTGCACTGTATAGCAGTGTCTCAAGTTTATTGGTGGTACTTAGCACTATGGAGCTGGAGAAGACTGAGTGCTTGGGGCGGAAACTTACGAACCGGAGGTTCTTTGGCATCTCTGCTGTCTCCACTGCTTGGGTAATCTGGGGCCAACCACTAAACCACACATTGAAGGTAATTGTGAATTATTGGGTATAACATGTGAATCGAGGAGTTATCACGTAGCCTTGCACTGTATAGCAGTGTCTCAAGTTTATTGGTGGTACTTAGCACTATGGAGCTGGAGAAGACTGAGTGCTTGGGGCGGAAACTTACGAACCGGAGGTTCTTTGGCATCTCTGCTATCTCCACTGCTTGGGTAATCTGGCAGTATCTTACTCCTCGTGCTTTCTTCGGGTGGCATGGCAGCCAAAAGGGCCCAGGGAGATGTTATTATCTGGTATATTTAAGCACCGTGGGGAAAGTCTGTAGCTGAACATACTGCAATATGGATTACTCTACTTTGTTCTTTGAACCGCAAAGTGTTGTTAAGTGCGTTATGTTTTCCAACCATTTTACTGCTAAGGTGGGATAAACCTGATAAACCAAGCAACCACCCTCTACAGCTTCATCCACAACGAACAGTACGAGAGCAACACATCTGTGGAAAAGTAGACTGCCTCAATGATCCTCTTCAGTTCCATGTCTGTGGCTTTAGAGTGAAGTTGCTTGACATCCGTCTTAAGTCACTGCAACTCATCACACTCAACCAACTCAGGCTCTTAAATCCGAAAATTTCATTAGGTGAAAATGTTATTTGTGGATGCCACGTGAGACACAATCGGCAGGGTTCATGTTGGTCGGGAGGTTTCTCCAATAAGGAGTGCTGGTATGTTGGTGTGCGAAATTTATTGTGATGGCAATGAAAGTTTTAAATCTCCAATTGGTGTTAAAACGTAATGCAGGACACTCACTGAATCTGTTCAAAAGTTTCTGTTATTAAGCTAGATTTCTAGTTGCTTAACAAGGTGAGAAATTAGTCTAAAGGTCAATAGAGCAGCCTGGATTGCGATGTGTGAGATAATAACCGGCTTTTTTTAGGGAAGGGGTACTATTTGTGATCCTTCTTCAGGAAGCTGCAATATGGTTGCTGCATCGACTCACATCTCATGTAAGCCAACGCTCCTAAACGAACTTCGGATGCATCATAGAAAACATGCAACCCAGTAGCCTCGCCGTTCCACTTGGTGGTTCCACATCCGTAGATGTACGGGAAATTCAGGGATATTCGTACTGGCGAATACCACTCAGACACTGGTATGAGATTTGGAAATAATTTCAAGTAAAAGCAGTTGCGCAGGTATTTACTAATGCATTTTACAGTTGTAAGCCAACTTAATAGCTATTTGGCCTACAAAGAAAACGAACGCTTATTAGTTCTGGTTTACACAACATGTTGTGGAACTTAAGTGTAGACGGCTTTGTAGACCGAACAAAGGTCGCATACAAATCTTTATGTTCTCAGTTATCCGTGAACTGGACACTGCCGCGGTGGCCTTGCGTATACAGTACTAATAACTGGGGCTAATCACCCGTTAATAACTATTCCGCTTCACTCTTTTCTGCGTATGAACTCATCCTAAAGATATTGCTAGAGATTCCTCTTTGGATGGAATGCTGATGAGATTCACTAACCAAAGTTCGCTGTGCTGTTCTGTATGGATTTAATTTGTGGTTTGGACGATGATTAGATCTGAAAACCTGCCATCATTATGATACGGAGCTTTTAGCTTTAGTTCCGGGCAACTTTAATCATTTGCGATCATATTGTGACAGCTTCGGCTGTGTTCTAGCAACGCCGTTGAAATGATAGTGGCAACCTATTAGGTGCTCTGCAACAGCATGGAACAACTCATTTGAACTGATCTCGTGACTGGAGTGAGTGGGTTACGAGATCGAGACTTTGACTGAATCACTGAGTCTCGTGATATTTGTCCGAGAGGAATGCTGACGTATGGTCTTAGCTATATGCCTTGTCGCGCACCCAACACAGTCCGCTGAACAGCAGTAGGAAAAGGAATACACAGCCAAATTCTGGATGAGCAATGACATCTTGTCTTTGAGGTCCATGCTAAGGAAAGGGTTGGTTCTTAGCCAAGATTGCTGGCAACTGTCTTATGGGGTTACGTGTTGACTTCATCAACCACATAATCGTTACCTTCAGACTCATTCGATGCATCTGTTCTGACTTTTGCTAAGGTTGTTACTCGGCAAACGCTATCCCGTATGTACTTTCATAGTCATACTGTGCGGTGGACACAAAAATCACGCGGATGAACATCACAACTAAGAACCCCAAGTTCACTGTTAATTATTGTTATATCTGACTACTGTCCCGTTCCAGTGCCTAGTGCCGGAAAAAGACTCACCGACAAGGAACACAATATATTTATTGAGAACAAGTGAGTGTGCGAGTGAGAAAGTACAAGGACCTCAGGCTATTTTATTGAGGGACATTGTTTCTGTTTGATCCCATGCTGTCTGGCTTTGATTCAGGCTGCCTGGTAGGCGTCTAGTGGAGTTAAGGATCTCAATAGATTCCGGATAGTCTGCGGTTACATTCGGGAATCTGACCTTCCTGATATCTACCCTATCCCTTGCCAGCTGATTGATGTTCAGTATTATTTCCTTGGCTATCAC